GCAACTTTCCAGATTCTTGATAGAAATTGGAAATTTCACGTTTAAAGAGGAGCATGTAGGTGAAATATTGATGGGTTAATCGTACCGTTTCTCTCTTCTGTCGTTTATTTTAGAGATTTGTTAAAGATATGCAAATATGGCTTTTTTACGGCGAAAAACATTTATAAGTCTTTGATTTGATTGTTTATTATCACAGTTGACAATGAAGAGAGAGGAGATTTTAAGGTCACATGCCGCGTGCTTGTTGACATACAAGTTCCCGAGTACAGCAACTTCGGCTATTACATACAGTGGATGACGAGAAACTCTGCTGTCTCGTTTGAAAGGAGATATCAATAGCTCTATCAAGTTCATAAATTGCGTAATTTCTCCAGAAAATGTGTTGTTGTTGCCACTTACCGCCATAATGAAATTTCCACGCAAAAATGGTATTCATACCGTAACTTAACTTAACTTAACTTTATTTAAGGATGGTAGCGCAATAGCCTGTTACAGTTTTCTAACCTGCGGCCCTCACACCCACCCACCCCACCCAGGGGAGGACATCCATTACACAGTAATCTCGTGCGTGGGAAATCAACGTCTCCTACCCCTAACCCTGCAGGAGACAGGATCTCCATTTATTCGTCCTTATCCGACTTATCCGAGAGGACTGGAATATCTAACCATTTCTTGATGTTATAGAAAGGTAGCATATTCTTCTCAATTATTTTTAAGACCTTTAGTGTTGGTTTGGCCGGGGCTCGGACCCTCGACCTCCCGCACAACAGTCCAGCGCTCTATCCATTGAGCTAACCGGGATGCTGCGACGCGGTGATGACCTCGTAACCTTTCATAATTATCAAGCCCTTTTTCAAGGTAACACCTCCAGAATGTTCTAAAAACCTTTATCATTACAACTGCCTGGTTTTCGCTAGAAAATTTCATCTGCCATTATTTTCCCTGAATGTTATGGCCTTTCCAGCGTGAGTGTGCAAGCCAGATGTTACATACATGGCACTCTTGAGGGTTTCGTTGGGCAGTGACGGGCTCAGGTGTCTAGGTCTCGTTGAAAACATTTCTGTATGCTGCAAATTGGCCAGCAATATACGCTTCCGCTGCTTTTTTCATCACCATAATGCAACCAATATTTTTTTTTTGCCGGAAACTTTTGTAAATGATAAACTAGACACGTTACATGTACGAATACGTGATGTTTTTTAGGGTTATAGAGGTTATCGTGACCCCCAACACATCCATGCACGTTCTTGTAACGTCTGAAAAATGTCACGCACGTACAACACCTTAGGCACATCTTGCGTCGCTGCGGATGCCGTCCGTTTGCTTCACTAAGTCTGTGACCCCCAAACACGTCACGCATTCATGCGTGTAACGTCCAAAAAATGTCACTGATGCACATCATCTTGGTGACACCTTAACGCTTGCTTCACACTATGCGCACAGGTCGAAAAAAGATATTTAAATGAGTAAGATTTAATATATTTGTAAAAACTCCTTGATGAAATCTGCTATAGTCAGACGAAACGCGTAGGAGATTAAATCAAGTATGCTCAATAATTTATCATTCAAAAAAAGGTTTCGATTAAAAGCAAAACAAAACAAAATAAAACTGTCATCTTGCTCCTAAGCTGAATGGAGTCAAGGGCTGCTATGCAATATTATGTCAAGTTTAGCCATCCGCGTAAGCAATGCCCAAACATACCATGACCGGCGTACAGGCATAGAATAACTTCTCGTACAAGAATAGAGACGTGAGAATGTGGCGTGCTTATGATAATGGAGGTGGAAAGATTTAGAGCGCAGATCAGCTCGCACGGTTTGGAACACCCCAAGGCCCCACTAGGCTCGTCACAATGGATCCCTTCAGCAACCCAAACGTAGAACTGAAGCAGGTAGTTATCTGCATCCTGCGCAGATATCTGAACCTGGGTCATCACGAGAACTACCCAATCCTAGCTTTCTTCTTCTATCTGTGAGCCCAGCTAATCGTGAGAATTTATAGCCTTTTATTAGTTTACAGTTAGCCCCATTCAGACTCTCTAGAAGTCCACATCTGATTCCGTCAATTTTCATAACTTTCTTGCAGATGTGAAGTGGCAAAATTTAGTCGAAGACCGTAGGGTATGGCACAGCCACCATTAAGTTACTAAAAATACAAACGTTTGCCTCTCGCTTTTCGTTCAAATATATTGTCATGCTTCCGAAAACAACGGGATCTTTTTTACAATTTTTTTTTTATCATTACCTAACTTGAATGGAACCTTGCGCACAGCCTACTGATATTTCGGCCTCATTCTTTAAGTCACGCTATTTAAGATCGGGTTTGAGAGAGATGCATATTTTCTTCATGTAGTTACAGCATGTTTTAAGAGGTGCAGATATTTTTTTTGATCAATGGGCAAGTATATAAGAAATAGATCTGCAGAATTTTCGAAAGTTGTTCCTTAGCAGACAGTGTGAACAACGCGCTTGAATAATTCACATCCCTATGAAACGTTTCCAAGTCACGCCACAGATGTTTAGTTCGACCAAGTTCTGCATGGAAATGTTCGATAGTAGTAAGTGACAACGATAACACCATTCTAGTTTTATTTTCTGGAATAATATAGCGCAGTTTTTTCATTTAACATCGCTACTGAAATTTCCTTTTAAGCGAGAAGACAGAGCTTCTCGTCTGTACAGCAAACGGAAACTTGTACGTCAACACGAATGCGGCATGTGACCTTAAAATCTCCTCTCCCGTTGCAATCTCTTGATTGTCAACTATGATAATAAACAATCAAATCAAAGACTAATAAATGTTTTTTTGCCGTAAGAAAGCCATATTTGTTTATTTTTAGCAAATCTCCAAAATAAACGACAGAAGGGAGAAACGGTACGATTAACCCAGCAATATTTCGTCTACATGCTTCTCTTTAAACGTAAAATTTCCAATTTCTATCAAGAACCTGGAAAGTTACTCACATTTCGTAGCTTCCTTGATTAATTATCTTGCTTAACGAGCTAAAAAATGATGGTATACTTGCCTAAGTAACTGCCTACAGTTACAATTTCGTGACAGGTGTAGTTAAGAGGAGCTTTTACAGTGACAGATTTCAAAAGGCATTCCAGACAAAAGTATGGCAGTGCCCAAAGATTTCTTAGTGATTTCAGAGATGAAATAATGGAATAGAAAGGCGCGTTCAAATTAGTGTTGCAGCTTTCTAGCAAGGGAAGATATTTGACCTCAAAGTTACCAAATATTTAAGTGAATTGAACAGTGTAAAAACACACTAATTCATTCACCTCTGTTGATTGACAAGTCGTCAATCAAGTCAATTGAAAGTTGTATAGTACGTTCATTAAGGATGTATCAATATGTATGCAAACCGCGCCATCACAGCAACATGTGAAATACAATTGCAGTAAGAGCTTCTTACATTTTACCTATTCTGAGGCCATTTTTTAGTGAAAACTTAGAAAACCAGGGGGTGGTCTATCTCCCCCCCCCGGAAATAACCAAAGCCGAAACCAGTTTGTCATTTTGAGTTTTTGGGGTAGATCCTTTGAACTGGCAAAGTTTAATTGAAATCGGTGGGATGGCATGCATCACGACTGCCTGGTGCTCTACTGGACACGTTCTTAACTACATGAATTGATTGGGGACTATTTCTGCTACCGCTGTCGCTTCGCACATGAAGAATGCACAGAATGCACACAAATGTATGACCTACGTGCACAGCATGTCGTCTTATTGTCTCAGACCTTTTTCTAGTTTCCGCTTTCGTTTCATACTAACACGCAATGGGAATTGTACACGTTTCTACTTCTTTTCCGCATCAACTTCCTGCGAAATCCGTGAAGATTAGGAAGAAACTCCTGTCAGCGTTACTGGAAGTAAAATGCTCCGACAGTATTCGATAACTTAAAGTTGGGAGCTTATATTCACTGAGTCTTCGTTTATTCAACGGTATCAGGTCTAGGCTTAAGATCTTAATCTAAACTTGTTTAGTAAATCTCGAGATGATACTGTCGTCTGTGCCCCTGATATGCATATCATTGGGAGGTTAAATGCACGAAGTTTCCAGAACTGATTACCCCCTTTTATAAACACAGCCATCAGAATAAACAGAAGTAGTTTCAGTTTGAAAGATTTTGAGAACTTTGCTTCGCACAATGTGTTGTTGATTGTATCATCGAAAATGTCAGTTGCTCCGTGTCTCTTGCTTACACGCTGGATGACTTACATTATAAACGATCTCTATTGCTTTATCCGCTTTGTAACTCCCATTTCCGCGAAAATTCATGTACCGTGTGTGCTAATGTTAGCTGACTTCCTTTTAGTCTTTTTCCTTTCCTTGTTTTCAGTCGGGTGCGATGATAACAAATAGGACTAATGTGTGAGATGAGCATGTTGTCGATGTAAATCACCAAGTGATTTAATTTGAGGGATCAGTGCAATGAATTTTGAGGGCTCAGCGCAAGCAGGATTGAAAGAAAGCATAACTTAGCATCAATGTTGACATTTTGTTCACACCCTAGTGCTTTTAGTGAAGTCAGTTCTGCTGTCTGTCGCAAATGATATATTCCATAACAAGTAATGTACTGTTCATTTGAAAATAAGGTCTGAAAATCATCGTTCGTTTTCGATGCTAAAATGTTTTTTGCCTTACATTTTTATGAATCATACATAACATATGAGTCAATTGAAACATACTTTCCGGTATTAAGCGCCCCGTAGAGCAAGAATTGGCAGAAAACATAGGTTCATGTCAATGTTGACATTTTGTGTACACTTTCATGCTTTCAGCGAAATGAGATTTCTTAGGTCTGCTGTCTGATATAACTAAACACATTCCACGAGCATTGCACCGTTCATATCGACACAAGGTTTTGGATATCACTACAAATGTACGGCCTTGAAACTAATTTTGCTTTTTTAGTCAGTAGACGAAACAGCATGTCTTGCGTTTATATAATGTAGGTGTGTGTTTGACCTCGATTGATCGATGAAAGCTTACCGTTCCTAAAGGTCCGTTTGTTTTCCTTAACTCGGCGATTCTCTTTTCGCGAAGTTCTTTTGCCCTCTCCATGTCGGTAACCTCCTCTTTGACACATAGTAGCTGTAAATCCTGCGCTAACTCAGAAAGACTTTCGCTTCGCCTTCTTACAGGCCTCGGTTTCGACATCGAGGTCTAGTCAATGAAAGTGGTTACTAAAGCTATCGAGTCTTTTGCGAGGTTTCATTTAAGCTGAGAACAGTAAGGCCGAGCACGACTCAGCGGTCTGAGGTCTTCTGTGGAAAATTCAAAGCCGTCGAACAGTTAGTTCGAAAAGCGACCCACTTCCGAACAGTCACTGTCACAGATTATGATACTACTTCGGGAAGTTCAACCTTTTCACCGTTTTTTTCATCCGTATAAGTGACCAGTTTATTTAAAGCAATAACGGAACTTGCCGAAACGAGGAAATCACGTCTTCTTAAAATATGCTTTCGTGGCAAATTTCATCAAGACACGTATTTTGGATAGCGGAAAAACCACAGGGGGCCCATACAATCTGTTTGTGTAGCCGATTGTTAATTTATAGTGAATGTACCAGATTTACCGTTTGCCTCACCTATAGCGATATATTGCTGACTATGTATATAAATCAATGAGAAATAAACGTTGAATTACCTTACCTGTGGTGTATAGTCGACCTTTTGCCTCAAAAATGATTTTTTGAGCGATTTTGAACAATTTTGAGTTCGTCGTTGAATGTAATTTGTAAAAGAAAGACAAAGATGGAAACCTTGTTTTGAAAGGTTTCAAGCGCCCGTGCCATTTTCCCCGCGAAAATCGCATCGCTCCCCTTTCAAACTTCGCAGCATTAAGGTAAAAAGATTTACGATTCTCCTCGTACCTTCCCACCGAAAATCCATTTAAACGGATCGGAGCTAGCCCTCGAAGAAAAATAAAAATCCCACATTTTGTGCCACCCAGAAACCGTAACGCTGATTGCCCTTTTCTGATTGGACGACGTTAAACGATGACCTATTCAAAATATCTGGCTGGCACATGAGAATCTTGCTACGCATCCCAGGCGCTCTAATACTGATTAACAGCTTAGGAGAGGTGAAGCTCAAGTGGCTGTTCACTGAACTGGCCCAAAGTGAAGACGGAATCAGCGAGATTGACCTCCTTTAAATCAAACTTCTCAACATCGATGGATGGCAATTGACAGATATCAAAAACATAACGAATCATTCGCTGATTACCTAAATTTGCTCGGGAAGCAGGAACTGCATGAATACAAAGAGGAAAGGAATCGCAATCAAATGTATTTGAACGGGATGGCTGGATTTGTCATGGTCAACAAAGGGCTTGTCACGTGCTATACATCGTCAAGGATAGGTTCTAGTCTATGCTCGGCTAAGTTACGTAAGCTTTAAAGCTTTTAAGCAAGCGGCCATGGGTGAAACGCGTGGTCAAAGATGGTTTATTATCTAGTTATTCGTTTATCTTTGTTGTTTAGATTTCACATGCCGGCTTTCTTAAAGTCGGCTTGTCTTCTTAGTGTGGGTTACAGCGAGGAGTCTTTTTACCAACATTGAAACGAGTTATTGGACACTGATACAAAATCTGGAATGAAGTAGTCTCATGGTTTACCCAATTTAGGTACCGCTATTTACATATTAAAACAAAGGAAATTAGTAGTTGGAATAAGACCGGTTCTGGCGGATTTTCAAAAATTACTACTAATTATCGTGCATTTACGATAATTTATAACTCTTTAAGCGGCTAACTTCTATCAAGTATCGTGAACACACGATAAATCTTAAGTAAAATTGATATTTTTCAACGACCTATTGGGTATGTGTCTACTCTGTCTGGTAGAATGATTCGCTTGTCATCATCAGCGGATAGAGCGAGTTTGTTGATCTCCTCCATAAACATCTCATGCTTTCGACTTCTGAGGGTATTCATTTTCCGATGCTGTTTTTTACCATCAAACAAGCATCTTTTATAATTATCAAGATTGATGGTACGCTCTACCACTCCCGTCTTCACCCCCTTACACTTCTTTTTCTCTTCTCCACTATCAAACATCTTATAGCAATAAAGCTTTGCCCTCAGACCAACAAACTCCTCAATGATTTTTCCACCCGCCTCATCCTTAAACTTTCCAATAACTTTCTTGTTTACCCCGGTTGGTATCCCAGAAGGGTGATCTTTTGAAATGTTGCTTGTGTCAAACAAACAATCCACATCATCAATTATATCTTTGTAAAAGTCTTCAGTCTGAATCTCATAGCAGAGACTGTCTGTATCAGTGAAAAGAAGCTTTGCTCTATCTCCGTACTTGGGTTTGATGTAGTTGTAATGAAAGTCATACATCAGAGTCTTGCTGAGATCGAGGATACACATTCCGAGATAGAGAGGTTTGTTGAAGGTAATTTGCGTCTTTCTCATCTCTACCGCACAGAGATTCTCAGAGAATATGGTGCAGTGTTTGAAGTTGACCTTATTTACCAATTTTTTTGCCTTATCTTCTGAGTTGACAAGTCTCACATCAACTCGTTTTCGAATATTTTCCATCGTCTTTCCATATACAGAAATGTTCATGAGTTTGAAAAAGTCTTTTTCGAAATCGTTATCAGCCTTGGCTCTCAACTCTGTATTTAAATCGATGTACTTTTTCATCCAAGGACTCTCTTTAAACTTGATGATACGGTGAATCTTTCCAATCTCAATTCCAAGACTCATGTAAAGCTTCAATGTCTCGTGATGAACGATGTACCTCTTTTTTTCGTTTAAGGTACAGACCAACTTATGAACTTTTCCAATCAACAGATTTTCAGGAGCTGGAGGATAATCGTTAAAATAATCATACAACTCTTTTTTGATGGGAAGTATATCAACCTCAAGAATGCAGGGAAAACTCTTCCAACCCCCAAAGTCTTTCTCATCTACCCATTCAAAACCACCTGTCGGTAGATTTTGACTCATCGCCCAGCCGTAGAGATTGTTTGCGTCAAGATATGTGATGAAACTTGAAGGTATGCTTTTATCAAACTTTTCACCCATGTATTTGTTGTTTGCTTTTGCATATCTTTTTGTAATCATCGAAATCCCTCCGCGAATGCCTTTTTCAAACATATGCAACATGTTTGGATCACTCAACAACTCAAGCTCTATCTCAGTCATCTTGAGGCATGCATCCCAAGCCAAACCTGGTGCAGTGTAGTACCAACAGGGGTCGAGGTCATAGTTCTCCTTGCAAACCTTTCGAAAGTTTTCAAAAACGTCACACAGCAAGAGAACATCACTTTGATTGTAGAGATTGTGATAATCTCGCATCGTTTTCATCTCAAAGGTTTTCCACACCTCTTTTGCATGATTATATTCCGCTTCCGCTATACCACTACCACTGAGAACAGAGAAAAAAGCTTCAATCGGTGGAAATTCAGTCTCATCAAGCTTGTTGATAGAATTCAACCACTCGTAAGGATAGACACCCTTTCTCTTCAATAAGTCAAGCTTTTCTCCATCAAAGTATCTTCCTGTATTCACTAAAGAGTCATCCTTTTTGGTGAGGTTGTTGACAAGCTTGTCAAGACTGGAAGCCATGAATTTGAAGCTGTCAATGAACCTCAACTCTCTCTTGACAACAACATCTTCTTTTTTCTTTTTGTTGAAAAACTTGTCAACCACAACACTCTTTGTGAAGCTGATGTATTTTTCTTCGTTGTTGGGAATGCAATTAATATCACCTTCTGAAACACCGAGATTTCTAACGAAGAGATGGGCGTCATAGTTTGCCAAATTGTGAAAGACGACAGGAGTAAATTTTGGTCGTTGGAATCTCAGGTTGCAACTATTATGCGCAGCTCCTCTAAATTTACCGGTGTAATGGCAATGATCACGAACCTTTACATCTTCCATCTTGAAATCTTCTCCACACAACCAACAACACATCGCATTTTCAAAGAGTTCAACATCATTGTCTGTGAAGATCATCTCTTTTTTGGGATGGTTTTTGTAAATAGTCTTAACCTCTTCTTCAAGCATGTTAACAAATATCTGTGCAACATCTTCATCTTCAGACTTTGCTGTATACTCAACCAGTTTTGAATGTTTGTCATCGAAAGAGCATTTAACAAAGTAGCAAAAACTCACTGGGATATGTTTCTGCTTCTTTTCGGTATAACACTCTTCAGGATTCGGTTGAACTGTGTGCAAAGGTTTGATGATTGACTCAAAGTCAGCATAGATGACGAGCGGCATGTCCATCTTTTTATAGTTGTTTTTGAAAGAGAGAAAAGTTCCCTCTTTCGGCTTCTTCTCTCTCACAGCCTCATGATCTCGACAAAGTTCGCTGTGTACGTCAAGAAGTTTCTGATAACCGAAATAATTAAGACATCTCTTGCAAATAAACTTTTTATGTCCATCTTTTGATAGGTCACTCGATACAAGTCGACTTAAAGATTTGATGAGACAGTAATGTTTTTTCTCACTTTTTTCACCTTCATCACCTTCACTGTCTAAGCAGTGATCAGTGATGAGAAGAAGATCAATATGGATCTTGCTGCTCTCAACCTTACTCACTCTCAAGGGTTTGAGCCCACCTTCATACATGTAGACGTTGATAGAAAGACTCGGATTCAACTTTTCAAAGCGGTGAATTTTTGTCACCTCCATCGGAAACTTAATCCCATCCCACACAAGCTTCTTTGCCTGCTCTCTCAATGTCTTTGAGATACGCTCTTGGTCCTTTTTTACAGGATTCAACGCTCTTGTCACACACCATTTGAAACATTCATCATCTTCATTTTTTATGTTTATGATAGCCTTCTTATCTGCGAGAAATTTTGGTAGCTTAATGTATGAAGAACCTTTCAAAGGAGTGTATTTCGCCGTATGCGAATCTAAACCCTCAACCGAATGGATAAACCAACCGCTTCCATTTCTTGTAAACGTAGCCAAACTCTCCATCATTTTGTCAACACATTCTTGATAAAGTTCTTCTCGATCAGTATCTTGAAAGACAATCTTGGAAGATGAATTAAAATATACAAGCTCTAGCACAGTCTCACCCGTCACAATATTTGTCTTTGACATATTACACTTCAGAACGAACTCCACCTTGATATTCTTCTGCGTTAATAAAAACTTTATTACGGTCGGTTTTACACCCTCCAGAAAATCCATCGGTCCATAACCCCCCACCCCATCAATTGTGTACATCTTTACAAACCCTTTCAATGCAGACTTTTTCTCAACAAGTTTGAAACGATACTGATCTCTTTTCTCGTAAAGCTTAGCGATATGTGTTTTGAAATCTTTCAACTTGTCATCAACCACCACTCGTGGTACATCAACCTGTTCCTTCAACCACTGACCCCAATCTTCTACCTCCCTCTTCCCCCAATCAACAGCCTTATCTATCTTTTTTACCAGCAAAGCTGGTTTTGACGGTATTAATATATTCTGCTCCTCCGGAATCTCATGTTCAGGAATCGGATCATCGAGTAAATTACGTCTCTCTGAAACCACTTTCTTATTGTTTGGTATTGACTGATTTATAAAATTGATAAGTTCTGCTTTTCGAAGTCTTGAATAACCACGAAGACCATTTTCCTTTGCAATCTGACGAAGTTGTACAACAGTATGTTTTTCCATTTTCTGCATATCTGATATTATTAAACTTTTTTTTAAGTTTTTTAAATTTTTTTAATCACTTGATTTAAGTGATTAAAAACTATCTCGATGTGAGCTTTACTGTTTAAAACGATATTCTTCGAAATGGAGGGCAAACTTTTTTCCATCAAGTGTGATAAAGTTTCTTGTACTCTCTTTGAGTGCATTCAACTTTGATGTAAACGTTGAAGGATTTACCTTAAAATGTTTTGAAGCAGCATTGACCGAGGGAAAAATGAGTTTATCTACAGATGAATCTATAGATTGAAGTGTCACTTTTCTCCTCATACCAATGTTTTTTGCGCGAGGAGGTGGAGGATTTTTGATAAATTTAATCAACTCTCTCTTCACCTTCGTAGAATATCCTTGTAATCCCATCTCTTTTGCTTTTTCGATAAGTTCGTTTTTTGACAATCTCTCGAGAGAATCCAACTCGGGAGGATTTTTGATCAAGTCAATCAACTCTTTTTTGTCAAGTAAATAACATCGTTGCAATCCCATCTCCTTTGCCTTTCTCATGAGTGCACGCTTTGAAAAATACTCAAGCTCATCCATTTTATTTATATTAAACATTTTTTTAAGATTTTTTTATTCAATTTTTTATGAATTTTTTTTATATTTTTTGAAGTTCACTCTCATCAATCCATGAGTTGAATTTTTCTGGATAACCACTCCACTTTACGAGAGCCTTTCCTTTACTCTTTCGAATAACCTTCTCAATAAGGAAAACATCTTGTTTTGCTCTCAACATCTCTTGTTCGTAGAAAGAACCTTTGATCTCTTCACCGAGCAGATCCTTTAACTTGTAAGTGATTGGGTTGGAATATTGCGCCTCGTCAACGACAAAAATCTCTTCTGTCCAATTCGGAGTAAATCCTTTGTCAAACACTTTTCGTTTGAATTTGGAGATTCGAACGTGATCGCCAACTGCAAATTTTGGTCTCTCCCGCAATCTACTCAAATCATCGCCGTAAAGTTTCAGAAAGACAGCATTCTCATTTTTTTTCTTGGATGCCTCTACCGGAGTCATACCAATCGATCTATGTTTTCGATTGTTGTACTTCTTAACGATGTGTGGTAGAATGTCGAGATACTGTGTGTTGTTCTGAATGGTAAACTGTTTCCACATCTCAGTTTTGATGGTTCGTTTCCACCTCTCACAGACAGACGATTTTTCTTCATTCTCTGTCGAGTACATCTCAACACCTTCAGCTTCCATTAGATCTTTGACATGACTGTTGTAATACTCTGAACCCTTGTCAACCCAGAGTCTCTTCGGTTTTCTCCCTCCAACAAAAATCTTTCTGAACCCATCCGAAACACTCTCACCCTTTTTATTTTTCAACGGTACAATCCAACCGTATTTGCTAAAGACATCCAACACCATCAGCAGATATCTATAACCCTCATTCCACTTTTCAAACTTTTGCATCTCAACCAAGTCAGAACACCAAATCTCATCGATTCCGTTGACAATAACGCGTCGTTTTCTAAAGTTTCGTCTCACCGGTCTGTGCAACTCATCTGCTAATTCTTCTTGCCACCCTGAGCTTTTTTTGAGCTTTTTTTTGCACCCAGACCGAGCTGTTGCTTTGTGTTGATAACATTTCTCGCAACCCAATGACCCCACTGTCTATCACTATTGGGTATCGCATCGAGAGCTTTTACCATCTTACGATCAGCCACATTTTTACACTTTTTTGGATTTTTTTTATTTGAACAGACACTGTAATCAACATCATGTTGCATAGCTACAGCATCAGTCGGTCCTGTTGGTTTATCAAAAATCTCTAAAATCTCACCCGTCTGTGGGTCATACCTCAACTGTTTTTCAAGGTCGTTGTACGGTCCGGTATACTTATGTCCTGGAAGAGTCCAACCAGATTTTGGTTTTGGTAGTTTACCGATAGCTTTGTGAATATCAAAAGATCCTCCTTCGTAAAGAGGGTGTGTCGGATCAAGCACACCATCAGGTGCATGCATTGACATTGGTAACACTTGATTAACATCAACACTTGTGCTTCCCCCACTTATCTTTTTACTCAAATCATTAGTGAAACTGTCAAGAGCTTGATTGAGATATTTGTCGGCTGTTTGTTTGATTTTATTTTTAGCATAATCTGATTTGATAGCTTTTGCAGCACCTTTTCGAGCACGATAAGCACCACTGTTGGCCAATCCTTTCAAAGCCATTTCACCTAATGAATGACTGTTTCCTACATCAAACAATGATCCACCACTCTTAGTACCGCTAAACCTTACCTTTGTACTACCACACTCTGCACACTTTGATTTGATCATCAGTCGACCATTTTTTGCAATCTCTTGTCTTTCACTCCCGGGTACAGACTCAGTCTTTTTTCTCTGTTTGACACAATAACTCTTCATCTCTTGAAAAAAGCATTAGATTTTTTCATCAAAATTTTTCATGCATGTATTCTTTGCTTTGTCGAGGAAAAGAAATTCAAAAGGTTTCAGTCTTGAGAACAGATCTGGTTCAAAACAATTATCTTCAACGATTAGTTTGCGATGACGATTTGTTGGAGGGGTGTACACAATCATATGAGAACAGTTCAATCTGATGTTGACAGGTGTCTTGTGATATGATTGACTCAGATACACCGGTGAGATTGAATGATGCCTTCCATCAATAAAATGTTTCAAGATCTTTTCCTGCACGTTTTTAGGAGCAGTAATGAGATCGGCAAAAATCACAACCTTTCTTCCTCCTCTTGGATACTCTGTCGTGTCAAGAATTTCATCAGGATTCATCAGATTCAACACATCATATCCAAGTTTCTGTGAGTGTTTATGCATAATCTTTTGGAGATCTTGTATCAACTCTTGGTGAATGTTTGGAGTGTAGATAAAAATCTGATCGTAAATGACCAGTGGCTCTCTCAACATGTACATGAGTGTGTTTGTCTTTCCACTCCCACTCGGACCAGCGATCAGCATCCTATACTCTTCATCAAGAAAGTCAACATCAGGTGCTTTTCTCTTTTGATTTTTTCTCTCTGTTGTTAATTTTGGAATATTAACCATTTTGTTTATTCTATATATAAAATAAGTGTTGAATTTATAAAAGTGAAAAATGCAAAAGAAACACTTATCACAAAAGATAAGTGTTAAACACGAAAAAGCAAAATAGACACTTATTTCTGAAGATAAGTGTTAAACACGAAAAAGCAAAATAGACACTTATTTCTGAAGATAAGTGTTAAACACGAATAAGTGTCAAAAAGCAAAATAACCACTTATCTCTAAAGATAAATGTCTATTTTTTTAAATTTTTTCCAAAAAAATAATTTAAAAAAAATATTTGGTAATATTAATAATGCAACTCACAACTATCAACAAAGCAAGCAACTCTATTATCTTCAATGACGTCGTTGAAAATCAATATGGTCATAAAAGAATAAGTATTGAGGTGAAAAATGGTGGAGGAGAAAACAAATCAGGACCGTTGGTGGTTGAGACTCCTAAATTATTTTCTTTAGGGGTACAGACAACTAAAGACAAAGAGGGTAATATAACTGGATACTCAATGCCTATCTGTCTATGGGGTGAAGACGATAAACCATCACGAAAAGAGACCTACTTTAATAATGGATGGAAACAGTTTCACCATGTGTGCTGTAACTATCTTGAAAAGCATTTTGGACCAGAAACTGCAAGTATGTTGAAACTTCCTATATTGGAGAGAGAGGGGAAAGCACCAATCTTTTATCCAAAACTTATCTACTCGAAGAAGAGAGATAAGATACACACAATTTTTCGATCAGATACTTATCCAAGAGATGAGAAGAAAAATCCACTTGATTATCTAGATGAATACTGCAAAGCAAAGATGGCTTTGATAGTTGAGTCAATCTATATCACTGATGATAGTGTATCAGTACAGATCAAGGTGAATGATGTTTATGTTAAAACATTACAGAAGAGAGAGCCGTTGGTTACACTTTCATCTGATGAGGAAGATGAAGATTAATAAAAACAACACTTTCCTCTTTTGAAACAAAAGAGAAAAGTAAACACTCAACACTCAAATCGTTTATTATACTTTCTCAGTATTTTATCTGATAGAAAGATTGGGCACAGATCTGTGATTGTATCATCGATGAGTCTCACCTCATTGAGAAACGATTCCATGTCAAACTATCTCCCTCTCAGATAAGTCCTCAATTCAGTCAAGATCTTTTCATAAGTTGTAAAAGCAAATTTACACATGTCAATTTTTCTGTCAAACTTTTTCACATCAGTATATGTTTTGAGTAAGAGACCTGTACCTGATATTGTGGCGAGTATGATTGGGTTCATGGTTACCCCTCCAGCTATACCTCCAGTCACAATAAGTACAGTACTTCCCAACTTGCATAAAAGACTCTTTTGTTTGAAATTCATAAAAACCTTTCTCGAGCACCACCACTTTTTGTGATAGTATTTGTAAAGAGATTTAAGCTCATCAATCTTTTCTTCTCCCATTGAGTAGTCGATGTGATTGAAGTTGAAAATGTGTGTGTCAGTCATTTTATTATGAACATCTCATAATAAAATTTCAATTTTTTTCAATCCTGCTTCACAATCATCAGATAACTGTCATCAGTTCCATCGAGTTGAGTATTGCTGTTATCTGTCGCTATGCTCAACGATGTGTTTGCATGGAAATATAATAGAACGGTATTAGCGAGTGTCGTCCAAGCACTTCTTGTGTTGGGTAGCGCTACCAATATACCGTTTGATTTAGTTAGAAACGGATTGCTTAAGATGAATCTGAGATGTGATAGATGTTTAGACTTGATACCATCGGTGTATGTGATTAGATACATACCAGCGTTTTTGATTGTGAGTTTTGTGTTGTCTGAACCGTTCACTGTGAAATCGGCGTTAGCGCTCTGTGAAACGTTTGCGGTATGATCCGATGCTCCATTTATGTAAAATCTTACCTGTGTTGAATTGTCATGAGCACAGTCTCCTCGATACCAGATCTT